TGGAGGCAGCTGAACTCCTCCTTCCCCTGCCTTGACTTGCTTGTTAGCCCTGCCTATGGGTGGGTTCCCCAAGATGGATGGAGCAGGTCAGGGGAGAGGTCGGAGTCTTGCCTTTGATTGCGTCACTTCTCTGTGGGGAAGTCAGGGGTGGGATCCTTCCACCTCCTGGCCCACATTTTTCTTTTCAGACACTTGGGTAGAAGTAATCTGCCATAATTCTTAGGAACGTCCCTACGAAATCGGATGCCTCAGAAATCAGGCTGTGTTTGTTTCCCTCTTTAAAAACAGTGTTTTCCTAAGTGGGTCATGGATGGAGGTGAGGCATTTGATCCCCATTCTCGGGGTTAGGGCCCAGTTCACTTTGTGTGTCTGATCGCTAAATGTCATACATTACAATTTCCCATGAGCAGCAGCCTTGTGGCCTCACAGGGATACATCATCAGCCATGTGCTGCCATTCCTTCTCTGCCGGCAAGTCTCCAAGTTGGCCAGGTCTGAGAGTGGTACACAATTTACAATTCTGAGCCCGCATGGCCCCCACCCCTGTGCTTTGCTTTGCGGAAAGGTCAGATTCCCAAATCTCCTAGCTCTTTTATCTATCCCCTCCCCCTGCAAAAACCCAGCATCAAGATTTGTGCCGGGTCTTCCAACTCCCTCTCCACCCCTCCAAACCTAACAATAATCCATCACTGTTATCTCATTTGGTGTTTACAAAGCACTTTACAGCCATTGTTGCGAGTTTTTCCTCTTATTTGCAAAGTACTTTACAACTATTATTACAAGTCTTTCCTCGGAGGTGGGGTAATGCTGACCCATTTCCGAGAGAGTTGGATTCCCACTGCCTTCTAAGTGGTTGGACCCATTCCTATGATGCCCAGCACTGGAGAGGTAGGGCTTTCATAAGTGAAGGTCACAGCTGCACCCTTAGAAATCAGGCAGAGAAACTGGTTTTGGGGCCCCTGCCCACTTGCCCTTTGGGAAGTTCCACCCAGCATGTTTCTAATGAAGGCGTAAAGATGATGGTTACCAGGGTTCACACCGGGGGATGTTCCTGCAGCTGGGGCTCACTGCCTATCACCTCCCATTTCTGGCAGCCTGGCTGCTAAGCAGCAGGGTTTGTACTTCGCTCTCCCCTTTCTTCTGTCCAGGGTAGGGGTGTATGTGTGTGATGCAAAAGAGGAAAATAGTCCCCCCATAGCAGACTGGGAGCTGCTTAAGGTGATCAAAAGTCTTTATGTTTTTGTTTTAATTTTTTTATCAGATTTTTTTTTTTTCTAAAGAGGCAACTATGGCATTCCAGAATGACATTTTTAAGAAAGAAAAGTCCACTTTATAATAGCTAGTCTACCAAAAACTCCCTCCTCCCTGGGGGCCTTAGCTGCCATCAGGGTGGGCCTAGCAGTTCATGTGTTGCCCTTTTCATTTAAGGTGAGGGCTAAACATTTTCCTCGATTGTTACCTCGATTGTTACCGTGTCTTTGTAATAATCATTTAAACTTGTGTAACATGTTGTTGAGTAGGTTGGATGGCAAGCCCTCCTGATAGAAAACATGGAAACTTCTGTAGATTTGGAGGGGTACTTGACTGTAGAGAGACTGGGTACATCTGACAGGGTGCCTTGAGGAACCATGGCCTTGACCTCCTATCCCGTTTTTTCCTTTGGCTACTGTCATTAACACCAGATCCTTTAATATGGGTCTGACTTCTGCACTTCCCACCCTAGACAAGAAATATCTGCTATACAAATCCCAGTTTGGTTAAGGTGGGTTCTGAAAATGAGTTGAGCATTATATTAACTCATTATTGGTATTTTGGCCCAATTTGCCCAACTCGGTTATTAGCCTTCTGAGAATAAGTTTCCCTCTTAGCTTTTGGGACATCTATCAGAGTGCTTAAATAGCAGATGCTCAGTAAATATTTGTTAGCGACAAATACATATTTGCCAACCTCCAGGGCCTTTTCCTGGCCAGTAAAATAATTGCCTTGAATGTAACCTATTCTGTGAGGCAAGTGTGAAGGAGTTTCTAAGGCAAACCTTTGTGTCGCGGTTTCAATAAGGCCAGTAAGTAGCAGAGAAACCTGTAATTGCCAGGATGGCTTCTTCGAATAGATTCTGCCCCTGCATATAAAACCAGAAGTGTGAAGAGAAGGGGAGATCTCCCCTCCAAAAGAGGACCAGTTTATGAGGTTTTTGTCTCTAGGGTCTTCTTGAGATAAACCAGAACATGGGAAAGAAGCCGGTTTGTCTATTTTGTTTTAAAGGTATTTTCTAAAAGGTTTTATTAATTTATTTGAGTCTTAAGAGAGAGCATGAGCAGGGAGGAGGGGCAGAGGGAGAAGCAGACTCCCCACTGAGCAGGGAGCCTGATGCGGGACTTGATTCCAGGAACTGGAGAGGCAGATGTGTGACTGGCTGAGCCACCCAGCGACCCCTGGTTTGCTATCTTTAAAAGGAGGAGAGTGTGATTCTTTATCTGTGAGACCTACATACTGGAATATTTATGAATGAAGTGGTAGAGTGTCTGGGATTTCCTTCAGTTATTCAGGACGGAGGAAAGAGGGTGGAGAGATCCATGGGAAAAGACTGGCCACAAATTGTTGGAGACTGGATGATGATTAAATAAGAGTTCATCTTGTCCACTTTTGAGTGTGTTTAAACCTTTCCATAATTAAAAAAACAGAAACAAAAACAAACAAACAAAAAACCCAACGGAACAGGAGGGTTGCACTAGCTTTGGCCTGGGAAAATGATCTGAAACAGTCCTCCATCCCCAAGCACAATTTAGGCCAGAAGACCATGTATTGGTTCAATTTTGAGGCTGGAGTGCCATCTAGTGTTCATTGCAAACACCCGCCCAAAGGACGACATTGAAAGCACCTCTCCTTGCTTCAAGGTCCTTCTGTGAACTCCCGGTGAATAGGGTTGACTGGCTCCGGGCAAGGGCAGCACTTGAGGGTTTGGAGGTGGAGGTGGCTATGATGGTGGCCAGGGTGGTGTGCGGGCTCATTCCTTGCCTCACCCTGGCTCAGAGAAGCAAACTAGGACAGGAGTTGTCGTTTTGTATGTGGCTCTGAAAGCAGGTGACCTTGCTGGAGGGTTCTCAGTGTGACCCAGCTGCAAAAATAGCCTCTCTTGTGACCAGTGTGTGCTTAGCTCCCTGGCCTGAGCAAATAGCCCCTCACACCTGCACATTGTTGACTCGCTGTGGACACACAGCTACTTGTTTGCAGGTGCAAATGACTGTTTGTGTACCCAGAGTTGAGGGAGGGCCCCCCACCATCCTCTTCTTCAGCCCACGTTCCCTTACAGCAAGTAACTGGGTCACAGTACTAGCAGAATGCGTGACCTTAAAATCCAGTGCTAGGTCCTGGTGGAGGGAGAGCTTTTAAAACCCCTCCTCTCCAAGTATCCCCCGCCCTGTTATGAGAGAGGAATCCACTCTTGCCTCTGGTGGTAGGACAAGAATGGTCCAAATTCCAGGGTAGCTACATTTAGGGACAGAAAATATGGGTGGAATATAAAATATTCTTCAAAATAGGAAGTGGTGTATATGGAGTCAGGGAGATTTCTGGAAGCTCTGAGCCAGGCTTTATACAGATCGTACGGAATAAGAAACCTGGCCCAGCCTATCTCAGCAGGGCAACTGCAATGGGAATGAGTGAAATTTGTCAATTGTAAAATTCTATAGACCTGGACAATAGAGGTGGGGGGGGTGAGTGAGTGTAGGAGACAGAGTGGTGGCAGTGTGCCCAGGAAAGTGAGTGACCATAAGTCACTGTTGCTTGCAATATGGACCTGTATTTTATGGACCAATAAGCAGGAAAAACGGTCAAACTCTGATACAGCATATCATACAGATACACTGAAATGACAGAAATGAGCGAAAATGAATCACAGCCCTTTTTGCAGGGCAGTTTGAAAATTTTGAAAACTTTCCAAAAATGTAGTCCCTTTGGTTAATTCCTTAGGATACTCCCCTAGGAGTAATTCTACTCCTAGGGGAGTATCCTAAGGAATAGGCAGAAATGCTAAGAATTGTGCACAAAATGAGCAGAAACTGGGTAGAGATTAAATAAAAGTTTAATGATAATGAAGGATGGCACATTGATATGATGGGATTCCGTACTATGCTAAAATGAGTTGATGAAAAATTTCTAATTTGGGAAAAATGCCTTGGTATCATGTGAAAAAAAAATAGGTTCAAAATTATGTAGCTTGACCTCAACTAGGCAAAGTATGTGTCAAGACATGAAGTATTGCAAAGGTTAGAGTAGAACAAAAGGTTAATAACACTGGTGATCTTGGAATCAGAGGATTACATATCATTTATATTTTCTTTTTTTTTTTTATCTGACAGAGAGAAACACAGCAAGAGAGGGAACACAAGCAGGGGGAGTGGGAGAGGGAGAAGCAGCCTTCCCGCTGAGCAGAGAGCCTGATGTGGGGCTCGATCCCAGGACCCTGGGATCATGACCTGAGCCCAAGGCAGATGCTTAATGCTTGAGCCACCCAGGCGCCCCCATTTGTATTTTCTTTACACATTTTATTTTCTAAATTTTCTGGAGCAAATCTTTTGTTTGTTTTCATATTTTTATTGAAAGCAAAAAGGAATCTCAATTTTGAAGGGAAAAAAGAGAGGAGAAAGGTCTGGGTGGAATTCAGAGAACCTCAGGGCCAGGGGCTCTGAGGGAGAGAGAGGGACAAAAATGCAGGCTGCTGGTGGTCACTGGCCGAGTCTTCCTTTCCTCGTGACCAGGGAGAGCCTTGCTGCGACTGCCTGTGATGCCCAGGAGTACGACTGTCTACTTCCCCTGACAGTCCTGTGAGCTGAGCCTCCAGTGCTTGAGGTCCGAGCCTGGATAAGGGAGGCCCCCCGAGCTGATCTACCTTGTACTCCTTGCAAGGAGAGGGCATCATGTCCTCGGCCTCTGGATTCTCCGATATTAAGGTTTCTGAGCACAAACAGGAAGAATTAATCCTCCATCTTCTTTTCCACCCAGTAGATATGTTTGATGACTTCTCGGAAGGCAGGGAGTGTGTCAACTGTGGGGCCATGTCCACCCCGCTCTGGAGGCGCGACGGGACCGGGCATTACCTCTGCAATGCCTGCGGCCTCTACCACAAGATGAACGGCATCAACCGGCCCCTGATCAAGCCCCAGCGCCGGCTGGTAAGCACGGACCCCGACTGCTCAAGTCCGCCCGTCATTCCCTCTCTCGGCACCTGGCGTTGGGGCTCACGCTTGGTGGGAAATTCCCAGGGTCTGAATTTTGGACTACAGTTCATTAAAAAAATTTTTTTTTTTATGTTTTTACAAAAGATTTTATTTATTTATTTGAGAGAGATTGAACACAAGCAGGGGGAGGGGCAGAGGGAGAGGGAGGAGCAGACACCCCGCTGATCAGGGAGCCCCACAAGGCGGGGCTCCATCTTGGGACTCCGGGATCATGACCTGAGCCATAGGCAGAAACTTAACAGACTGAGCCCCCCAGGCGCCCCTCAAGTCATCTTTAAAAAAGTAGGTGTGGGTGGGTGGCAACGCAGTAATTTCTGATACCTTTAGAGTTAGCTCCAGCAGCAAGGATGTTCCAGACCGTCTAGTTTAAGCCCTTCGTTATGCAGAAGTGAAAAATGAGGCTCAGCACAGCCAACAGCCTCGCCCACGGTCACAGGGATACCTAGTCTCCCATCTGGAGCCAGAGTCCGGGCTTCCCGGTTCCCAGTCCAGCCTTGCCTTGGACATCTCCTGTTTTCACATCAACCCCACAAGGAAGGGGAGCTCTTCCTTACCTTGTTTTCAGCTGATGAGTTAATAAAACCCAAAGCCCAGGGGGAGATTAAGCAGGCTATGCTGGGCCCTATGGCTGGGAACGTTTGTAATGGGGTTTTTGGTTCTTGGCTCTATGGTCTTTTCTAGTATAATTTGATTTGGGCCAACACAAGCTAGGCTTCCTGTGTATTAGGGAGGGAGGAACAGAGGGGTTAAGCCCTGACAGTTAACTTTCTTGGGGTCCCAAGGCCCGTCCAGACCCTGATGACACTTGAATGCAGTAATTCTTCCTCACATTTATTCTACTTTTGAGGAAAGCTTTTCTGCCCCCAGGGCTCTGTCTGAGGAATGACTTATATGCCACCAATGCCAGTGAGGGTTAGAATTCACTGTCCTCCTGCCGCTGAAGTCTCTGTTCTCCCCCCTTCCCAGCCATGAGGGGAGAATCTGGCCCTTCAGCTGCTCAGAGGTTCTCCTTCAGGGCTCTCCCAGATGACCTCGCCACCCACTCAGGGCAGGACAGCCCCTCGGGACTCCCCCTGACCTAAAAGCGGCAGTGGGCCTTCCGCTTGGACATGAAGGGTCTGCTTTTCTGTTGCAGTCAGCTTCCCGCCGGGTGGGCCTGTCCTGTGCCAACTGCCAGACCACCACCACCACGCTGTGGCGCCGCAACGCCGAGGGTGAGCCGGTGTGCAATGCCTGCGGCCTCTACATGAAGCTCCATGGCGTAAGTAGCCCACCCCACCCCTGCCCCCCAGCCTCACCGGTGTTCCCATCCCCTAGCTCTCACTGGTCCTCCCACTTTCAGACTTGACGTCATCGTTGCCCTCTCTGCCAAGACACTGAGATTTGGAAGGAAACTTACAGGCTGTCTTGGACTGTGTGGGCTGCCATAAAGCACTGCAGACCCAGTGGCTTGTATACAACAGACATTTATTCCCACATTCCTAGAAGCTGGGAGTCCGAGCTCTGGAGCCGGCGTGGTCAAAGGCTGGTGTAGATTTGGGGGAATGCTCTCTTATGGTATTGATTGGCATGTGACTTTTACTGCAAGTATTCCTGGGGAAATTTCCCTCGCAGTACCTTTTTTTTTTTTTTTAAAAGATTTTGTTTATTTGACACACACACACACACACACACACACACAGAACACTCAAGCAGGGGGAGTGGCAGACAGAGGGAGAGGGAGAAGCAGACTCCCCTGCTGAGCAAGGAGCCCAATGTGGCACTTGATCCTGGGACCCTGAGATCATGACCTGAGCAGAAATCAGGACTCTGATGCCCATGAACTGAGCCACGCAGGTGTCCCTGGCAGTACTTATTAAGGATAAAAAACACACGTATCTTTTGACCAGCAGCTCTGCTTTTGGGAAACTGGCCTGTAAAACAATAAAAGAATCAGTATGTAATGATGTTTGAACTGTTTATTGCTGCAGTATTTGTACTGGCAAAAACTAGAAACCATCCTAAAGCCTCATAAAGGAATGCTTGATTAAATTGTGGCAATACTATGATGGGGAATATTGTGGAGAAATTTAAAGAAATACCAAATTAGGGCCATGTATCTTGACTTGGAGTAACAAAAAAGCACATTGCGAAGTAATATACATACTATGCCCCCATACTATGGGGGTGTGGGTGTGTTAAACACAGACAGATACAGATGGATGGATGGATGAGCACACATGTACATACATGTGTAGATTTGTATGTGTGCGTACATGTTGGCAGATGTTTTCAAGTGTAAGAAATGTAAGAGGCCGGTCCTCCAGTTGCCCCATAGGACAGGATTGATAACGGAGGGATGGAGGGGGCATTACTACCTTAGCCTTCATGAATCTTTTCATGTTTTCTTTCTTTTTTTAAATTAGTTTTTTAGTTTTAATTCCAGTGTAGTTAACATATGGTATTATTTTAGTTTCAGGTGTGCAATATAGTGATTCAACAGGTTTTTTGTTTTGTTTTGTTTTGTTTTGTTTTTAGTTTATTTGAGGGAGGGGAGGGGTAGAGGGAAAGGGAGAGAGAGTATTAAGCAGACCCTGTGCTTTGCAGGGAGCCTGTGCCAACACAGGGCTCCATCTCACAACCCTGAGGTCATGACTTGAGCCAAAACCAAGAGTCAGACACTTAACCAGTGTCTGCCACCCAGACGCCCCAGTGATCCAACAATTCTGTATGTTATTCAATATAGTGCTCATCATGAGATGTGTACCATGTTTTCTTGTTAGTGAGAAAGAAAAAAAAATAGCCAAAATATAGTTAAGACCAGTCATAAGAAAATATACTTCTTTCTGCAGAAAAGTTTTTCAAGGATGTTTGTTGAGTCACTGTGATAGAGAGAATGGAGGAAAAAAAACCCTCAGTAGGGAAATGGTTGAAGAAACTCATGTTCTTCAATAGGGGAATGGTAGAAGAAATGGGGAAAGGAATATTATGCAGGTATTAAAAAGATTTTGTCCTTAAAAAATTAAAAAATAGAATTAGCATATGATCCTGCAGTCCCACTTCTGGGTATAGATCCAAAAAGAATGGAAAGCAGAGCCTTGAACAGCTATGTGTGTCCTCATGTCCACAGTAGCATTATTCACAATAGCCAAAGGTGAAAGCAACCCAAGTGTCCACGGTTGGGTAAGCACAATGTGGTCTGTCCATGCAATGGATTTACCAGTCAGCCTTTAAAAGGACATATGTCCGGACACACAGTACCAGGTGGATGAACCTTGAAGTTATCATGCTAAGTAAAAAAAGTCAGTCACAAATGGACAAGTTTCATGTGATTCTACTTACACAAGGTACTCAGAATAATCAAACTCATCGAGACAGAAAGTAGAATAGGGGCTGCCAAGGGATGGCAGACGGGGAAATAGCAAGTTTGTGTTTAATGAGGACAGACTTTCAGTTTTTAAGATGAGAAGTGATCTGGAGACAGACGGTGGTGATGGTTGCATGACATTGTGAATATCCTTAACACTACTACAAAGGGTTGAGATGATAGATTTTATGTTATGTGTATTTTACACAATTTTTTTTTAAGTATTGAGGTTGGTGGGGATAAACATGAGGGCTATATTCTTCTGAGGTCAGGATGGGCTTCAAGTGGGCCAAAGTCAGGGTGGGGGGCTAGAGAGAGGAGAGGACACTTTCCTCCAAAGGTGGGAATACTGTTGGATCCAGCTCTCAGGTGACCAGAAGGCAGGTTCAGGTTCACCTAACTGGCTGCATTTCTCTTAACCATTCCATGTTTGTGTGTGTGTGTGTGTGTGTGTGTGTGTGTGTGTGTGTGTTTTAAGATTTTATTTATTTATTTGACAGAGATCACAAGTAGGCAGAGAGGCAGGCAGAGAGAGAGAGGAGGAATCAGACTCCCCACTGAGCAGAGAGCCTGATGTGAGGCTCCATCCCAGGACCCTGGGATCATGACCTGAGCCAAAGGCAGAGGCTTTAACCCACTGAGCCACACAGGCACCCCTTAACCATTCCATGTTTAATCTCTGAAGTGGGTAATTACTTTTCTTTCAGTATTTCAGGCATAGCCTTTATGAGTCCCATCCAGGAGACAAGCACAGACCAGGAGTTAAAAGATTTGGTTGAACTGGCCTAAGAAACCAAATGTGGGGAAGGCATGCTACTTAAAAATACTTGAAAGATTGATCTAACAAGCCTCTTCTCCAGACCGTTGTCTAGGCACCTGTGCGTGGTTCAAGAGCATGACACTTGACAGTCACAGCTTGTTTATGAGAAGTCAGTGCAATAAAAGTGTTGTCCATGGACAGTTTATCTCAGGACCTGGCCACAGGGCAGTCTCCCCAACATGATCTCTTGTTGCTCCCCACCCCCCACAGAAAGACCACATTTGGCTCCAACCAGACTTAATGCAGTGCTGAACTACTCTAAGTAGAGTGACTTGAGCTCTCAATTCACGGGGGCTGGCCCAGTGTCTGCCTATTTTCTTGGCATAATTATTAATAGCACCCCCTTGTCCTTTTCATCGTGTCTTGATTTTGCTGATAAACTAAAGGTTTTTTGCAAAAACTGTTCCTGCTGCCTGAAATGCCTGCCCCTTGTCTACTTGCTGACCTCCCACAACTTAGGCATCACCTCCTGAGTGAAGCCTTCATTAATATGGTCATGTACCACTTCCCCTCCTCCCCAGCTGGGAACACAGTTTAGTGTTTCTTCTCCATTCTCCCACACCACCTATGAGTTTGGTTGTTTCCTGCTTGTCTGTCTTTCCCAGTCAACTGAAACTCTGGAGGGAAGGAATGGTGTCTTTATGCCTCTATTTCTCTAGGGTGAGTGTAACACAGCATGTAGTATAGGAGCTCAATACATATTTGATTTCTTTCTCCAGGTGTGCCGGGGGCTGACTCACCTAGTCCCAGCCCCAGGGTTTGTAGAGGAATTGCTTAGATGTTGCCTTCTCATAGTGTGTGTGCATGTTTAAATACTGTAGCAGATCATGTATAAGTGGAAAACCATATATATTGACTTGTAACCCTCTAGGTCCCAAGGCCTCTTGCAATGCGGAAAGAGGGGATTCAGACCAGAAAACGGAAGCCCAAGAACCTTAATAAATCTAAGACACCGGCAGGTGAGGAAAAGAATTGTGTATAATTGTATGACTCACTCCGTGGCCCTCGGAATATGTGAATACCAGGTTTTCTTGGCTGGGTGGGCCAGCCCAGGCTAGTGAGTCATGAGAGCATTGTGCAGCCCCCACTATTCAGGACAGAATGATAACCCAGGGAGAAGTAGCATCACCATGCAATATCTGGGGAGCTTTTAAAGCAGGCTCAATTCAAGACGCGTGATGACTGCCAGTTGCAAAGGCACTAGTGGTCCAGCTGGACCGGTTGGGGGCCAGAAACAGAAAAGAACACTACTTTCCCCTCCATCTTCTGTGCTGCAGCTGGCCATTTAAGAGCTCAGTTCCTTTATGTTCTCCTTGAGATAACTAGGATCTAGGAAGACAGGACCCCATTAGTAAGCCTTGATTTGTAAGCCAATGCACAGTTAACATCATGTAGTACCTAGCATTTTAGAAAACTGTTTTACTGTTAGTAGTTCATTGGTCCTTAAAGCTCCCCATATGACTCATTATCCCCATTTTACTCCTGAGCAAACTGAGGCACAGAGAGGTTAGTAACTTAGCTAGAGTCACACAGCTGTGAGTGGGTAGACCTGGAATTAAACCCCAAGTTTTTACACTTCCGGGTCTGTATTCCATCGCAGGTGCCACTTTACCGTCTCAGTTTCTAGGTGAAGAGTGAGGACGACTCATGTTCCTATCAAGAGTGCTCCCTCCTCAACACTGCTAGCCAATTAAAAATTTCATGGGAAATACTGCCATTGCACAGAAAATAAATCAGCTGATCCGATGGGAAATTTATCTTTTAATCTAAGGCATGACAAACAGATAGATTTCCCCTTTCCACTGCTGAGACCATAGCCAAAGTTCTCCTTTCCCAAATTCCACAGTGCTTACCCCTTCGAGCAGTAAGTCTTGCTAGAATTTTCCATGTCTCACCCCAGTGGCCCTCTGCTTCTCTGTCTGTGTCCACACTGTTGTAGAAGTACAGCACCATGCCTTGGGGAACATCATCACCTTATATGCCGCAGGGACAGGGAGAGCAAGCATTTAGTTCAGGGGAACAGCCCCATCTCCCCATCACCTCATGTAAACAGATTCCACTGTTTATAGCCTTTATTTATCTCATGTGTGGAGATTCACATCTTTTGCTGCAGAACCATGATTGTATTTTATTAAGGGGTGTTGCCTCCGGCACCACTGGAAGTATTCTATAACATACAGTATTAAAATCCAGACACTTTCTTTTTTTTTTTTTTTTTAAATTATTTTTTTTTAAAGATTTTATTTATTTATTTGACAGAGAGAGATCACAAAGCAGGCAGAGAGGCAGGCAGAGAGAGAGAGGAGGAAGCAGGCTCCCTGCTGAGCAGAGAGCCCGATGTGGGGCTCGATCCCAGGACCCTGAGATCATGACCTGAGCCAAAGGCAGCGGCTTAACCCACTGAGCCACCCAGGCGCCCCCAGACACTTTCGAATCCTGAGACACATGTGGTCTTAAGGGTTTGGAATCCAGGGTGGGGAGCCCGTCCCTTGAGAAAGTTCCCTTGAAATTCCGGTATTTTCATGGGTCCCATTTTGAGAACTGCTGCCCAGCACTCATGAAGGTCCCTGCCTCCCTCCCCGGCAACTATAAATAACGCCATTAGCATGGACCTACCCTGGCTGTCTCCAAGGACTGCCATCCATTTGCCCCTGCCCCTGATCTGGGTGTCCTGACTGCCTTATTCTAGGTCCCTCAGGTGCTGAGAGCCTTCCTCCCGCCAGCAGCGCCTCCAGCAACTCCAGCAACGCAGCCACCAGCAGCAGCGAAGAGATGCGTCCCATCAAGACAGAGCCCGGGCTGTCATCCCACTACGGGCACAGCAGCTCCATGACTCAGGTATCCCCTTCCCCAGGTGGGGGGATAGGACCGCTGGTGGGACAGTGGTACATCGCCAAGGACCAGGTGGCTGGGTCAGCACTGGAACACCGGAGCTGTAGCTGGGCCCCAGCAGGTGGCAGCAGGAGCTGCTTGGTGGCCTTGGGGCCCCACTGAGGCTAGGGGTTGTCTGCATGAGGGTCTATTTTAACACATCTGGTCAAGTTAGGATGATTTGGGCACACAGCTGTGACACACAAATGTTGAGTAGCTCCTCCATGCTGGGACCTTTGGACACAGGGAATGCGAAGGGACACATTGGGATACAGCCCACAACCTGAGTCAGGCTGTGTACCTTGAGGGATGGCCGTATGACTGTAGCGGGCTGTACAAGGTGGCATATGGGCTTTCTGGGCAAGCCTGTCTCCTAAGTGAGAGGGGGTTTGGCCTTCACCTTGAAGGATGGATAGATGTCTTTTTAAGATTTTATTTATTTATTTGAGAGAGAGAGAACAAGTTCAAGAGAGAGCACAAGTCTGGGGGAGGGGCAGAGGGAGAAGCAGACTCCCCACTGAGCAGGAATCCCAATGCCAATGGCGGGACTCGATCCCAGGACTCTGGGATCATGACCTGAGTGGAAGGCAGATGCTTAATGACCAAGCCACCCAGGGGCCTCAGGATGGATAGATTTTAACAGGGGGAGGGGAAGGAAGATGACCCTCCTGGCATGGGCAATGGTGTGGAAACTACAAGGGGCAGGGTGGGTGGGCACGGAGGGTTGGTGTGGAGGTCATGGGCAGGGTGCCATTTAATGAGGGTCAGCTACAGCTCCAGCCTCAAATGTGTGTCCTGAAGATGGGTCAGCAATACTGTCATTTCCCTCTTTCGAATATGATGGCATTCCTACTCCCCAACCCCTTCCCTCTTTGGTTCCCCTGTTTGGGATGAGGATAGTCCCACATTTGGTTACTGTTTCCTGTTAGTCCTGATCTGTTCTCTATGTGCACTTGAGGGAGGCTATATCCTAAAAAGCTTTTTATTGTCAAGGTAAAGAAGCTGGTCTCATAGAACCAGGAGAGCCAGGAGCCCCTTCTGGGCATGGAGATCCAACGGTGACAAAACCATGGAAAATGTCTCATATAACTACCAGAGCCTTCTGAGAAACCACAATATCCACACCCCTACTGGGTCCCAGTGCTCAGAAGCAGCAAATGAATCACACAGACCCTTCACATTCCATGGCACAGGGGTTTGGAAAAACGAGACATGTGCTGCTTGGTTTCTTATCCTGCCTTTGTCCTTGGGCCCTCTCCCCTCATCCCTTTCCTGGCGGGGGAGCCAGCCTGGGGACATCTATGTCATGGGGCTCCCCGCCCCAGCCCAGACCCTCCCCATCCTGAGTCCTGAGGAATGATCCCATTGGGCTCATCTTATACTTTTTGCTTACAGACGTTCTCAGTCAGTGCGATGTCCAGCCATGGGCCCTCCATCCACCCGGTCCTCTCGGCCCTGAAGCTCTCCCCACAAGGCTACGCATCTTCTGTCAGCCAGTCACCGCAGCCCAGCTCCAAGCAGGACCCTTGGAACAGTCTGGCCTTGGCTGACAGTCATGGGGACATAATCACTGCATAATGTCACCTCCTTCCCTCCTCAGATTCCTGCACAGACTTGGGACTTGGAGGACGGCAGAGATGAGGCTCTGGGGCCCCAGGAGCCAGCTCATTCTGTTGGGGAATGACTCCAGAAGAACAACTGGGAAGAAACTTGAAATTGACAGTTTGGTTAGGGGAAGTGGGTCTTGGATTTTATCAGATGCCTTTTCAAGGGTGGGCTCCTGGAAAGAGCCCAGACTCTGACCTGGAAGAACCCACCCTTTACTATGAGCACATTTAAGCCCATTCTGTGGACTAAGAGACTTCTCTCTTGTTTTCCATCCCACCCCTCCCCCGTAAGAGACTCAATATCCTTTTGCCCTACCCTTCCACCACCGTGGCCTGAGATGGTGGTTTTTCCATGGTGTTCCCAGCACTGGGGTTCTGAGGGTGGGTGGAGGGGGCTAGGCGCTGGGGCCTCTGGTCCAGCCTGAACCAGGGCACCTGTTTGACATGTGTGTGGATGCAACAAGCCCCTCCAGACAGCTGCTGCCTCTGTCCAGCACTCCCCTTTCAGGCTTGGCACACCCCTGCATTCCTCAGTACCGAATCTTGACCCTGGAGGTGTCAGTTGTGGCCTCGATGCCACTGAATGCTTCATGGGGACACGGAGGAGAGGGCCGCTTCACCCACTGCAAGGTGTGCCTTGGTCAAATCACACCTTGGCAACTTCGCCTCTCCCAAGTTCCTTTCCCTGGCTCTCGGCTCAAACCTCCAGTCCCTTCTCCTCACCCCCCAAGGCCTCTGAAAATAAAAATCCCTCCACTGCTGAGTGATTCAGCTCTGCCTTCAGCTTGAACAGGTGTCTCGCTCTGCGGAGCAGGAGCTCAGCAGTCTAGCCACAGCAGCCTCCCCCTCGGCTGTGCCCCAAATCCTTCTTCCACCCTGTCACCCACAGTCAGGGTCCGAGGAAGTACAAAAAGGTTCTGCTGCTAAAGCAAGTATGACAAACACTCATCTAAGACTTGAGGTCCTTCCGGAGAGCATGTCTGGTAGACACTGTCTCCCTGGGGCTGGGGCCGGGCGAGGGCTTTCCGTGGATTCTGGCTTTCTTGTACTTGGATTTCGCCAATGCCGCTCTTGTTCTGTGGAGATGTGCCTCTTGGTCAGACAGCAGGCCAAGTTCATCCAAGGGGTGTGGAGCTCCCGCACCCGCTTCCTTTCCTCAGCAGGAAGTCTGAGTCTCTTGTCCGGGAATCAAACAGCTTGGGATGTTGCAACATCAAAGCAAGCACAACAAAACCGAACTCAGATGGAAAGACGATGACAGAGAAGACACCGAGGGTGGGCCCTGAGGGAGCCTCCGGCCCTGTGCTCTTCTGGAATTGGCCTTCTTCTGTTCATGTTGATGTTCCTGCCCATGATGCTGGGGCTCACAGAGACTCCTCTTTGCTGGGCCTCCTCAGCAGCAGAGCTATAGCTGACTGTGGCCTTCCTACGTTCTCCCCGCAGAGGCCCAGCTCCCAACCCCCAAATCCTTCTGGCTGTAGCAGAGAATATTTTTAAACAAAGATTCTGTTTTAATCATCATTTACGTCGCTTTCTTCCGTGAAGGCCACCCTCGTGTACCTTCCTAACCCACAAACCTGTTAACATTGTCTTAAGGTGGAATGGCTGTAAAATCAGTATTTAACTAATAAATTCATCTGTACTCCTCTTTTCCTTCTCCTCCCTCAGAGGTCATTACTGGGAGGCTCGATGCCGCCCTTTGCGAGCGAGGTAGTCCTGAGTCGCAGAGGCCCCTTCGCCGATCTGCCCACAGACTGCACAAAATCGTGTTCTCTCTTCACTTACGTATGGCAGTTGGCCAGGACTTCTGTATGAGACGCTGGCTAGTGAAAAGAACCCTCGTCCCAGCCCTGCTACTGACTAGTTTGCCACCTTGCCCGGTAACCTCTAGGCTTTGGTTTCCTAACAGAGGGTCGGGCCAGCCATTAACTAAAGTTCCTTTTGCCCAACGGTTGCTGCCTGATGAAGGGGGCCATTTCTAGAGCTTTCCTCAGGGTCAGTGGGTGTGGGGGGTGGGGCGTGAGGCAGAGTGCAGAGCGGTGGTCTGTCCATCCCACCTGGCTTAAGATCACCCTAACTTGTTCTTGCCCTCATCCACTTCTTCTTTATGGTTTGATCCAAACCAGCTTCTAGAGAGGAGATGAAAACTTATCCCTTATCCATTTGTCTTCACCTGCTTAGGCGACAGAATGGCTTAATCACTTCATTGTAAAAGTGGGCTAGGAGTGGGGGCAGTGGGCCTGGGGCCACCCTCTGACTCAGTACCTGTGGGATGGGACCCACACAAGCAAACCTTCCCCCATTCAGAGCTATTCATGGTGGCCGCCTGCTGCTCTCACCTGGCTTTTGCCAAACCCACGGGCAACTGTGGCCTTGGCTTTTCAGAGCACCCCCATTATTTCTGAGCAGGTAAGGGGAAAAAAACATAGGACAACCACATTTTATGTAAAATTAGAAAAGCTTTTAAATTTGCTAAGGAACAGTTAAACCTACTAAATAAACATAGGTATAATCCAGAAGAACGTGTAGTGGATGACTGACAACTACGAGTAATAAGAGATTGAAAAACATAAACCCTAACAGGATTTATGCTGGTTTTGGGAAGCACACGTTTTCTGATGACTAAGTCTTGGCTGAAGACATCTGCCACTTCCCTTTAGGAATGGCTTTTTTTTTTTTTTTTAAGGTTTTATTTATTTATTTGACAGAGACACAGCAAGAGAGGGAACACAAGCAGGGGGAGTGGGAAAGGGAGAAGCAGGCTTCTGGCCAAGCAGGGAGCCCGATGCAGGGCTCAATCCAGACCCTGGGATCATGACCTAAGCCAAAGGCAGATGCTTAATAACTGAGCCACCCAGGGGTCCCTAGGAATGGCTTTCAGAACAACCTCATTCCTTACAGAGTCATAACTTGCTCTTCAGCTCAGATGGTAATCAGCAAGCTGGATTCAGCTTTCCTGCTCACCAGACTTGGTTGCTTCCCCAGATGACGTCCATCCTCAGAAGAGGTCAAGTTGCTATCAATCAGGATATTCTAAAGGATGCAATTCCCCGAAGGGCAGGAAGTGGCTGGTGTGGAAGTATTGGAGGTGGGGGGCTCTCTCAACGACGGCATCGTTACAGTGAATGTCTGGCCTGATGTGGTGAGTGAAGCAGATAAGGCATGTGTCCAGGTTAATCAATCCTTCACATTCTCACCTTTTGCTAGGGCAAAACCTTTGGAAGTGCAGTTTAAAGTAATAGTCGGAGAGCATTTTTTGAATTTTTGTAGCATGTTTAGCTGTGATTATACCTGGCTTGGGATGGTAAGAGTGAAAATATGTTTATATTCACTGGACATTCACCTCATGGAACTGGGTACGGGTTATTTAGATGAACCTCCCACCCCTTGAGCTCCTAGAACTTGACACACCTGAATACTGAGTGCACAAGAAATAGCCATTTGGAAAGCTGCTTTTGGAGTGGAAGGTTTTTTGTTGTTGTTGTTGTTTGCTTTTTAATCATTTTCCGACATTGGAGACTACTCTTCAGATTGCGTCCTTGCCTTGCTTGAAGCTAGAACAAATGCCATCTCCCGTAACAACCCAAATAGGTGTGTCATCCCATAACCAAGGACCAGCCTCAGAGCTTCAGAGTTTAGCCTGGGAGGTGGATCCTGGATTCCCAAGGTCTCTGCCCCCCGACACTTCTTTCATTTCAGCCACTGAGGCCTCTGTCCTGCAGCCTCCTGGGGCATACCGCTATTCTAAACCACACTGGGTCCAGGACGATTTTACTCTCCCCTTTAGGGGCTGTGGCATGTCGCTCGTGAACAGACTGTTCAGTAACTGTGAGAACTAAACAATCCAAGCGCAGAAAACATGAAAACAGACCTCATTTTTCCAAGTCCAGTTCGCTTTTGGTCTGAAGCCTGGGAATGCGTGGGTTCAGTTTTGCAGAGGTGATCTACAGTGCTGCTGGCAGTTACCAGGAACAGAGGAGTTAGAAAAAGCCTGCAAGGCGCCCTGCGCTCGGGCCTAGCCTCTAGAAGTGGTTGCAGGACCTTTGTGGGGAGGTCTTCAGATGGACGCGAAGAGGGAGCTTCTCCTGCTGAGTGAAGGGTGATAAATGAGACCCCCTTGCCTACACTTCACACACACACACACACACACACGCACACGCACACACATACACTCCATCCCCTCCTCTCCCTGCTCTCTGGTGATTGCCTTCTGTCCTACAACTGTGGTGGCTCCCTTTCACCTGAGAAACGAGGATGGGCCCACCTCCACCTATCCTTTTATAAGGATATTATAAGGTTTATAAGAGGTTTTTAAATAGGGGCACCTGCTGTTCTAATCACGGAGCAGTGGCAGGTTTCTAACCAGTGAAACTCTGATTGCGAGGAGTTACTCAGAAGAAGCACAATACTGGTAAATAGACCATACTGTAGACCCTTTACAAGGACTGCAGTCTCTCGTGCGGCCTCTTCTTCTTCTTCTTTTTTTTTTTTTTTAAAGATTTTATTTATTCATTTGACAGACAGAGATCACAAGTAGGCAGAGAGGCAGGCAGAGAGAGAGGAAGGGAAGCAGGGTCCCTGCTGAGCAGAGAGCCCAACTTGGGGCTCGATCCCAGGACCCTGAGATCATGACCTGAGCTGAAGGCAGAGGCTTTAACCCACTGAGCCACCCAGGTGCCCCTCATGCGGCCTATTCTTTAAAGCAGAGTTACTCAAATGAAATGGGTTCTAATGAGAGATGTAAACAATTTAGACTTCTTATTTCCTCCCTTGTTCTTTTCCTTTGGAACTCAAGAAAATAAAAAATTGGCAATATCTGTTATTTCTAGGGTTCTTGATTATCTGAAACGTTTGATCTGGGATGGGGGACGGGTATGGTAAGAAAAGACTGAAGTAACAGAATCCTCAATAGGCCCAAGACCAGGCCTCTCTGCCGAACAAAACAATGGGTAATGTGCTTTTCATCCTAAAGACAATGCTCTATTATTCAAAGAATCCCCCAGCACTGCTCTACCGATATGGGTGGGAAACACTTCCGGGAGGTCAACCCATGTCCCCCCTCCGGCTCTGTGACATCCTTGACAGCTGTTTCCTGGTGCAGCTCGCCTTGCAGATATCCTTAATATGGCTTCCAGCCTTATCACGGCCAAAGTCCCCTTCACCCCATCCCACCCCTGCCATAATTCTCATGATTTGAAACTGTTTTATTTACATGATTATTTAGGCTTTTCCTCATTTTTCACAGATCAAAGACAGAACCACATGTAAGTGACACCTTCATTTTTAAAAGAAGGAAGACAACTGCTAATCCCTGCTAACAAGCTCCAGATAGCTGATAACACTGAGCTGGTTGACCTCCCATCCATGGCAAGGACATCCAATTTGGTTTGCTTTATGATCCTGGTATGGCAATTAGATGGATGGTTACCTTGGACCATTTTGACTATTTAAAAATGGCTTGTGGATTCTTACTGGGTGAATCATAGGGCCCCAGGGGTTCTAGAAGGGGACCACTGTTGTATACTCCTGCAATGGATTCCATACCCATCTCTATCCATGCTTCTTCCCCAAACACTGAGGGAGGAAGCCTACCAGAAAGAGCCAAAGATGGAACCTGCGATTTCAGAATTATAGTTCGGTTTGGCTGTCATCTAGCTGCAATAGTTAGGGCAGTTCACCAAAAGGCTCTTCCCCTTAGCATCTTTATCTGTGAAATGCTTTGGACCTAGGAGATCTTTAAGGTCCCTTTGAGTTCTAAGCAGTCATGATTGCTCCAATAACCTGAAATCATCCTTGCCATGCTGCCTTTCCTTTTTGTCATGTTGTGAGAATGGTCAGGAAAAGACATAAAGACATTATTCCCCAGACACACACTGAACTCAGTTTAGCATCCAGGATTGGGCCAACGGCTCTGAAATTATAAGAAAGGGGCTCACCTCTCAATCTTTTTTTTTGTTTTTAAGATTTTATTTATGTATTTATGTATTTATTTATTTAGGAGAGAAAGC